TCGCATCGTAATTTTATGTGGGTTCCCTTAAAGAGCCTTTTTTGATACTTCATAAGTAAGAAATATCGGAATGTCGGAGGCTAATTGATAAATCATCATCATCATCAGCCTATTGATGTCCCCACTGCTGGGGCACAGGCCTTCCCTATGGATGGAATAGGGAGGTTGGGCCATGACCCACCACGCGGGCCCTGTACGGATTGGTGGGTGCTAACGACTGCAGATGCAGCCGGGACCAACGGCTTAACGTGCCTTCCGAAGCACGGAGGAGCTCGAGATAGTAATTTTTGGTCACCCATCCAATGACCGACCACTGCGAAAGTTACTAAAGTTCAACGACCGCAGCCGATCGCGCCAACCACTTGCGCCATCGAGCTCCTCAATTGATAAATAGTTTAACAAAATAATAGTTTGGTCCTCAAAAGGTGTCCTGTCAATTTACGGTTCCGTATGGAAATTTTAAGCCAAAACAATAAAAGTCAAGCAAGGGCATGTTATTTACCAAAAACAGGTACTACGTAGGAGGAAAATCAGCGCATAATCGTTTTCTTAACCGGAGGTGGTTATCGAGTAAATTGTTGAATGATGGACGCGCGGGCGCACGTGCGTCAGCGCACCCAGATTATGTTTCTTTTCAATTGCTGGCAAACCGATATGAAAATCATAAAAATTTATTCGTTCAATTAATTATGATCGAACATGAAATCAATAGCGCTCGTGCGATTGCGTAATTTTCTACTATTATTTATTTGAAGTTTTGAGTCTATAGTTCGAAGAAATTTCTTGCCTAGTAATTCAATTTATTCTCTCTAGTGTTTGCTTCTTGGACTCCTAATACAAATGAGAATATTAAACACTTTATGGAAGTAATGATCAGGTCAATTTTAAGTTTCCTGCATAAAAAGGAATAAATCAGTTGTAGAAAACAGTCCCTAAGGACTGTACACATGCAGCAGCAATGATCCACACTACGCAACCGCGTTTATCCAATTGAACGCGATCGAGAGCGATGAATGATTGTCTTCATTACCGAGAACTGTAACAATGATACAACATTTATTGATTCTCTGAATCACTTTTAAAACTGTATATCTTATTGGATGCTGAGTTTTGCTAGCATTACGATTTTCTTATGAGTACCTAAGTAGTACCTATTCAGGGAAAACTCTGATACGTCGAGATCATCATTTTATAAATATCACGAGTAGTTTATTGTTTTTACGCTCCTCAGGTTGTTATTATCTATGGCATATATTCTTATGTGTAAATTAATGCTGTTATTTCCCTAGTAATAAATAAACACAGTGCTGATAATTGTCGCAACCTTTGATCGTCATTGGTCACATCACAGCCTATTCCTTTTGGAACGTCAGATCATGATATTATGTGAACATGATTTTGTTCACACATCGTCGCCACATTTAGTATAGAAATTACTGATTTCATACAATAATACAATATCTGCCTCATCATTATATTATCATAACTTTTCGGAATAACTAAGTGAACAGCTTTCTTTTGTTGTCTAATTCACAGACTACAAAGAAAGTATATGGTATAAAGAAAATATTATAAACTATAAAAAAAATATTGGAGACGCATTCCGGAGTTCAGATAATGTGGTTGATTTTCGCTAATATTTTTAAACTGGTCTGTGTAATCATTTTTTTTTTCATATTCATGATTTTTTCTTCGAAAACTACAGAAATAAAATCAATAAAAATAATTTCTTTATTATTACTACTCCTTGAAAAACACAAGGCCCCACTCACAAATGTCAATTAAACTTAATGCTTGTCAAAGTGGCCTCTGGTCTTATTATATTTCTATCGCAAAGTAAGTGACAATCTCAACTTTAATCAGACTTACGACAACTACCACGTATCTGTTCTCAAATAAAATGCATTCATCCGGTTTGGTCCAAAAAATAAGATTACCTGCAGAAATTATTTCGATAGGAAAACAAAAATATACAGGGATCTGAAGGCTAAGCGTTACTGTTTATTATACGTTCAAAGTATCTGTTTGAAGAAAATTGGTTTTATACAGGCTTAGGTTGCATTCCTTGTATGAATATAAAAGCCATTTTACCAATATTGTCCTCTACGGAAAATACTTATACACTTTATTGCCTATTATAGCATATTTGCCGTATTTACTTTTTATTTAAAGAACTGATAATACTTACCTACCTACTTCTTTTGTACTGCTCATGAAAAACCATGAATAATTTCTATTTTCAGTCACCACAAAGTCACTTATAATGATTACTAAACTACTAAGTATCTAACTATCGCACATAGAGTCGATAAGTAAATAAATAAATATAAATATTTCCTACACTCACACCAATTAGCCTAGCCCCAAAGTAAGCATGTGAGGCTTGTGTTATGGGCTGCTAGGGTAACGGATAGAATACATATATAAGTATGTTGATATATAAACATAATATATGACTAAGGTACAAATGCTCGTATTCATCATACTAACATTGGCCCCCACTGGGACTCGAAGCCGGGACCACACGAGAAGACGACGCCATGAAGCCCGGCGTATATACTATTCGGCTACGGAGGTCGTCAATAACATTTAACATTTAATGTTAACCTCAATAATTATTAATCAAAATTAAAAGATAATATAATTGATTGACCGTAAATGTTTCGTAGAACTTTCCCAAAATACCACATTCATTATGATAAATAATAAACGTCCTAATTACAGATCCACATATTGAAATGTCTGTGTTTCTACTATCTTTGTACGTATAAAAATTCTTAAGTATATCATTGTCGTTAGTGTGTTACAGTAGTCGGGGAATCCCCGTTTGAAAATAAGGTTATGTCAACACGGTGTTGGATCGGTTTCCATGAAATTGCTCAATGCATAACTTTGCGCTCGATAAGCATCGTTGTCAACAGCAGATACGGGCCGAGTGGTGTCAATTTAAAACTGTCTACCTACTACTACTTACCTAATCAATTATAATATTCCTCTATTTTTCTTTTTAAATTATAGATCGATCAGTAAGTCACCAAATATCTGGTTAAAATTACTTAAGTATATAATCTTATACATTTTGAAGTCCGTTAAATACAAAATAATCTATATAATACACTTCTGGACACATCTATTGGCCCACCTTGTATTTTCAGTTTCGTTTGGTCCTAGCTAAAACTTTATATTAGGTCGAGCAAAAAGTTTTTATGCAGTTTTGAACCTGGCACATTCACAATTTCGTTCAATAGTCTTTTTTTGAATTTCGAACACAGAATTTAAAGAAACAAAAGACAATTTGGAGCCTGTTTGTTAATATCAAACATATATGTATGGTATGGTATTTATTTTATTTATAAAATTATTGAAAAATATTATGTATTCTTGAATATCTAATGGGTCCCGACTGTTAAAGTAGCTTTGTTCCTTATTAACAAAATTATAGACTACTGGTCTTGTTTTTTTCTTTTCTGTTTTTATTTGAAGTATAATTAAGCAGTCGGATTTTTTGATTTTTTAAATTTACCTTTTTTTTATTGTGAAGGATTTAGAATATCTCTTGAAAAATAAGCTGTCTTATTTGATAAATTACAATCTCTATAAACACCTAAGAAGCGAACTTTAAACATTACTATGAAAATCTCAGAAAGACGCATTTCTTTAGAAACAGTTTACATATAAATACCATAAGTCAAGTCGTTTACTGTGAAAAATCTCTTGGAAAATTCATTAGTAACGTGTAAATTGTAATACAAATTATTCATTAGAGCTGTCACACATCTCATTTGAATTTATTGAATTAAGTAATTGTAGTAGTATTTTCGGAAAATCCCATTAATGTAATGTTCGATTCGTAAAAGTACGGTTAATTAAAAGATATTATAAAGTATTAATTTAAATTTTCCATCTACTCGTATATGGCTTTATGAGTTTTGACTAATTTTACGGAGATTTTACCTCCCTGAAATCCGTAATTAGTTTATTTTGAAATAGTTAAGAATCTTTAAAATCTATTTATTTACCTATGCTATTTATGATCCGATCACGTCATCGATTACTTACAAAATCCAATAGATTTGTGAATTTGTCCTGTATTTATTTACGAGTAGACGAATGTAAGCCCTCGACTTCCCTGTCTCGAGTTTACATTCGTCTACTCGTTTGTAATAACCAACTTACCGTACTTGTATCTAAATAACTATTAAGCGACGGTTTAGCAGTCGCCCTGGGAGCCAGTTCGGGATCATTGGCACAGATAGGCGCGTGAGGAGCCGCAACACATTTAAAGGGAAATGTAGTCACGAATTGTTCACACGGATGTAGCGATCTCTGTACGCTTGTGCAACATAAGCTTGGCTTACAATCATTCCTCTAAGCAATAGTCCTCTGTCATCTCATGTCTCAGATGCTGCAGCCTTTAACGTATTTTAAAAATATATCTCAAGTATATGCATGAAACGCAATGCCAAATTTCGATATCATGTTAACAAGTGGTAAGAGGCTGACTCCAAATACTATCTATATACACCAAGACGGCCCTAATTTGATGCTGATAACATCGAACCTTTACCCGTTTAATTTTCTTCTATATCCTTTGGATTTTAGATTAAGAAGCGAAAAACGCTGTTATCTCTTATCTATTAGACAAGTCCGTCTGTCTGTGGTGCTGTTTCAGCGGCCAAACCGTAAGAGATAGATAAAGAGAATATTTAAGTTATAAGTTAAGAATAGTCTGATAAGACTACAAACCGGATTTGAGTAACGTAGCACTTCCGGTTTTCGAGAAATCAGGTTTTGGTGAACATTTGGTTCACTGGTTTGCTAGTCTTTTATAATACTTCGCTATTTTCTTTTGATTACAGGCTCTTTTAGTCTGTTTACTATAGAAAGGTAACCTTCTAACCTGTTTCTATTCTGTGTACGTATTAGAAATTCTTATAATGTTAAGGTAGGAAGGTACCTACTAATGAGTTCTAACACGGGAAAATCTTTCATTGTTATAGGTGTGATTGTGCACCGGCGTGCGGTGCACAGCGGGCGGGGTGGCCGATGTGGCGCGCGCGTGCGATGCGAGTGGCCGAGTAGCGGCCGCCGGCGCCGCCGCCTCCGCCGCGATGGTCGGCGTGGGCGTGGAGGGCGCGCCCGAGTACTACGGCGAGTACTACCCGCCGGAGTACTTCGTGTCGCCGGACATGTGTCCGCACCCACACCAGCATCCGCAGCACGCGCACATGTGCACCGTCCACGCTGAATATGGTCAGTGTAAGCTATAAACTTGTATTTTATGTGTGTTTAACACATCTTTACGCCGTGTCCTAATCATCATCGTCACCAGCGTATCAATGTGCCCACGAGGGGAGGCGGGCAATGTTTTTTCTATACCAGCGGTCTCGACTGATTCCTTGATATTTTGAAATGAAATGATTTTCATACATAAAAAATAACTTTACTCATTCTATGCTCCTATGTCTTCCTTTTTTCAGTACCTAACTTGTGTTTCAAAGAAACTAAAAGTACTCGAAAATGCCAAAAATAAACAATTTTTTATCACCAATTAAGATGTCTGGTGTAGAGATTCAATAAGCATTTACAAAAAAATCAAAACCTAGAGGCCTAGACTACTATTTTTTTTTAAATTTTATACTGCAATTTTCAACGTTAACTACTGTTGTCCCCATCGCATGGTATTTGCCAATGCGTGACAGCAAATGTTTTTTTCAAATACATACCTTTTTCTTAAATGTCTCTCAGCTCTCGTCCGCTCTTAGGGGCCCGAGGTCCCACCGATTTATCCTACTGGTGGATACCCGTGAACCTACCGCGCTAGGCCGATTATATTAATCGGTATCGTACCTCAAACTTATATCACACCCTCTTTTTCCATTGGGGGTTAAAAATGAGTTTCATGACCCCTATTCACCTACTGACTATATTGGGTTCTTCAGAGCCGTAAAGAGAGAAACAAGAAGTGAACATATCCATAAAATTAGCCAGCATTGGTTGAGCTTTAGCATACCTGGCAAACATCGCTATCGTATCGTCGTCGGCTGCGGGTTCCCGGTAAACTTGAACATAGTGCAAACTGCAAGCTTACATTCTTACTGCGCTGGCTCAACGACCTAAAGGATCTTCTCGCCTTTTTCGTTACCTCCAACCTAACACGAGATAACGCCACTGCTCGGTGGCGTGTTTCTTACAAATCCTTGCAACTTAAAATACATGACTTTGCATATATGGAGGATAACACAATTTTCCTTAGGCATTGTCTTGGGCTACTTCATTATGTGGTCAATCATGTGTGGGTACATACTTCATCACATAATTAATTCTTTACGCCTCTGTGTCCACGCATAATGTTCAGTCAGTGCAAACTTAATATCTGCCTACACGAAACACCGGTAACAATAAAATAATTTTAATTGCATCGGTATAGTTATAACAATTTAATAACAACAAACTTTAACTATGAATGTAGGTAGCTTAAACACTAGTTACCCACCTACGTATGCTTCTAAAGCTAAAATAGGTTAACTAATAAAATTTTGCTCTCGGGCATATACGGAAAGTTTATATTTCCGTCCGTTCATAGACTTTCCGTAAAAAATTTGAAAACAGGTTTTGCCGTTTGGAGTCGCCTCTGCAATTTGACCATTTCTGGTTTAGACCACTTCTGCTTTGGAATACTTCGTAATTTGACTGTTTCTGGATTTGAACATTTCGTTCTTCGTCTACTTTCAGTACAAAGTTAAAGTTTATATAAACCAAAAAGTTGTCATGAAAGGTTATAATTATATGAATATCAGACATTCATAACACTCTACCATGTACTTACATGAGTTCTCAACTATATCTAATATATTTTAACCACACATACCACATAGACTAAACTGAATAAGCTATTTAGTGGATTTCAGAGGTTCTACGGCTCGTTTGATCGATATTGGTGACAAACTTAGTTAATTCCAGTTCTCAGTGAGATAACCAGTTATATAGATATATGTATATATATATGGAAATGGGTAGGTCGGGGTCCAACCTCGCCTTGTGGTTCTTCTCCACGCTCACCCGGGGTTAGTAATGAAAATACCTTGATTAGGATAGGTTTAGCAGTGTATGATCTGTCCGCTGTTACGGCCGGGTTACATAAAACCGGAGAGCGGCTGGCAAATAAACTCCCGCGTCCCTTCTGGTCCGTGTACAGAGAAAGAGTCTCCTGGTTATTCCTCCAGTATTTCTTGAGGGGAACGTACAAGCCTGAAGTTCACATTGAAAAAAAAATGATCAGATATGGGGAAAATACATAGATTGCCACATCTGCATCACTGGCGGTTAGGGTAGAGTGAGGGATATTCACGGTCAATGTTTACACTTTAAAATTTGAATCACTACATGACTGGGGCCCATCCCACCGGGTTGAAGGGAATCAATTTCATGTTCACTAACTTGACAAGAATGATTAGGTATATTTGATGACAATAATCACTATATTGTGCATAATGCAGTTCAATTAGTGCTAGGAGAATAAATATGAGGTCAGATGATAGCTTACCGTTCGAAATATGAAACTATCCGTAAGTATTTTGTTTCCTATCACAAGTTACTGCCTTATTGCAACGCCTTGCAAAGGTTCGTGTTCGTCCACCTACGATACAGAATATCAACAGAAAGGTTATTTTTTATAGCCACAACTTGCAAAATAAGTAGGAAAAAGAGTTACTCCAATATACCTGCGAAACTCAGTTCGGTTAGAGACTCTGCGCTATTTCCGCCAATATCCTTCAGGATATAAACTTTTCGGATCTATTTCACGACTCCGACGACTATAATATGCCTTATAATATACTTTGGGCAGAAGAAACGATGAAAAGATAACTGTACCACAAACAGATTGTGAAATTTTAAATGTTGTTTTGACAATTGCTCATAGATGATAGACGGGTCGTCTACTCCCCAATATGTGTCTATGATTTGTCTCTCTCTCCAACTGAAGGCAAAGGCCACAGTCAAACAGACAGCCGCCGCATTCGAGACGAACCGAAGAATAAACTCAAAACTATATACCTACGCTCGCCGTAAGCTGAGGAAAAGGGAATATCTACCCAAATCAGCGAGGAAATTCAATCTCGAGTAAAATTCAAAATCGATTAAAAACAGCGCCCGATAAGGAGGACTCAAATCGATATGGGAAAAACTATTCAAAATTCAACAACTGTCAAACTCCATCCATTCATCCACGCGCCCCCACAGAGATTCACTGCCTGACTACTTGTTTTTTTTTTTTTTAAAGTCTCAAGGCGAATATTTTAGTCGAATAGAAAAATCGCCTATTTCCTCAATGCTACCAACCCAATCAATGAAGTTTGACAGCTATGCCGACGTAAGCGGTTCGCTATCATAGACAAAACAGCTGTCCTACGTGTGTCAGTGTCACGCCCTGTTTAAAAACAAACACTACAGTGTGTAGTGTAAGTTTAAAATGTGCGTGCCCTACGAGGGGCCACAGTGGAAAAGGTAGGTTTTGTATACATATAGATTAAGCAGGACCTTTGAAAAAATGTTAGCATTTTGACTATTTCTGCTTAATTTTAAAGCTTGCCAAAGAAACTTAGCTTTAACTACAAATTTGTACCAGTAGAGTAAATTTTGAACACGTAAGAACTGAGGGCCCAACGGTTACGTGTACTCTTACTGATGAGATCAGAACGTGGAATATAACACTCCATTCCCATTACGATCTTCTCAGTAAAAGCAACAGCGCTGGCAGCAACAAAGGACCTATCGGTCCTTTTCACTGATGCAGCGCTGCTTCCAAGGAATGGACGCAAAGTAGTCACGCATACCATCCCAATCTGCCGACTCATAGTGCCATACCAGTGGTCGTGAGGTTTTTTCCTGTGGCACCTTCGCGGATATCAGGCAATTATCTGGTGAACCCATTGGGGCTCAAACTATAACTCGATACTCCTGCGGATGAGTCGTAAGCAGAAGGTAAAGAAGGCGCTTGATTCGCTATATTCGAATCGGGGATCCTGGTGGGCTGATCGACCAATTGTGTCCGTCATGAGAGCAAATGCATGGGCAGAGATCCCTGCATGGTCAGTTTTGGAGGAGCCCAACCACAAACCGTGGTGGGCGTTGAAGTCCCCAAAAACACAAGTTCTGCGTTGGAAAACTGCGCCTGGGCATCAACTGCTGCCCGACTAAGATAGTCAAAGATTCGAGTTGTCTCAGCGTCGCCGAATTGCAGAGGCATACGTAGACTCTGGCCAAAGGACCAGACATGCTGCTAACATGGAGAAGGAGTTTTCTTCCAGGCAGCTCAAATGACGACAGCAAACATCCGCCTGAATATACAGGCATACGCCGGCTTTTGCTTTGCAAGATTCTGCAAGCACGTAGCCTGGATAGTTAATGTAGTCATGTGTCAGCGGGCGGAAGTATTTATGTGTCCGTCAGAAACAATAATGCTGGCCGTGCTGTCTCAAGATGGTGGTGGACAGCGTTGAGGTTAGAGTGGAGTCCGCGTGTATTACAGAACTCGACATCTTGTGCACCGTTGTACAACCAAACTTTGTTTTACGGGCTGCCATCTCATGGTAAAAAATTAAGAGGCGTGAAACGAGTGGAGTTTGTTTGCGACAAAGACAGGCAAATTTTTGTAGGCAAGTTTTCCCGGGTAACTGCCTGAGAGAGAGATACACCGACCCACCGGACGGAAGGCTGAAGGAATCTCTGAAGTAATGTTACCGATGTTATGATATTATTATATTACGAGTATAGAGTTGTTTTTATTTTATTTGTTACTTCTTATCGGGTAGGTATGCTACGATCACACAGAGACATCAATTTATAATCTTGATCTGATTTTTACAGCATACGGTCACTAACATTTAGTAATTTATATTTACGAAATTATTGCCTTGCAAGGTACCTTGTTTCTAGCGAGTTTTCGATATTTCGGTACTGTTGCAAGCGCCATGATCACGTGTAACTGATACTCCGTGATCATGGCGCTTGCAACAATGATAATGGTAACAATCCCATAAATAACATATCACGGAGTAACTGATACTCTCTGGTCTAACATTCATTAATACTGCTAATACATACTACAATTTAAAAAACACCGGCCCAAAACGAGCTGGTTTTGCAGAAGGGATCCGTACCATTAAATTATAAATACTACCATCCGTCGTTATAGTGGTAATAGAAATACACATTCTGCGAAAATTTTAACTGTTCCATTCATTCTTACC